GAACTAGCTCCTTGGAGAAATGGCTGATTCCAGGGCTGGGGTAAAGCAGATGTCCAGGGCTTAAAGAATGGAGTGGATATGTCAAAATGATATGGACGCCAGCTAGAAAGGGCACCTATTAAAAAAATCTGGACAATCTGAGTAATAAATATCGACAGTAATGGCTTATAATCGATTTAACAAAATGAAAATCCATGAGTCCATAACGATATCGATAAATGAACAAATAAATGAGAGAGAAGGGCAAGTTCTTCCTCACAGAATGTCAAGTAATAAGGAATGATGAATTTAGAAAATCATCAATGGACACTAAAGCTCATAATGCTTTGATAATAGGACATTTACAGTCTCGAAAGTGTCTCCCCACAATTTTCCTTATTCGTTACAAAGAGAAAAATTATAAATTTACAGTGGAGAAACCAGGCAAGCACCACTCTAACCAAGTGACTAAGGTTCTCATCACTTACATTGAGACAAGTGGACATCATGATACACTGAAAAGGGCACATCAACATCTCTGCCAAAACTGCAGAACCTGAATCCAATCATGAGGAAACCTCACATAAACTCAAACTGAGAAACATGCTACAAAATTACTGGCTTGTACTCTTCAAAAATGTCAAGATCAAGGAAGAAGTCTGATGAACTGTTCTGGATTACAGAAAGAGACTCAACAAGTAAATACAATGCATGATCCTGGACTGGAGGAAATAGCCAGACCATATAGTATTTCGACAATTTACAAAATTTGAATATGTACTGTGGATACCATTGTATCAATTTCCTGATTCTGATCATTGCACTGTGGTTATATAATGTTCTTATTCTTAGAAAATGTACATTAAAGTATTTAGGAGTAAATGGGCATGACTCCAATTTACTCTCAAATGGCTCAAAAATACTATACACATACACAGGAAGATAAATTAAAAATATATGAACAATTGGTAAACATGGATAAAGGTTACAAAAGAGTTCCTTGTATTATTTTCACAACTTTTGTGTAAAATTTTATCAAAAACAAGTTACAAAAAAATTTAACCCCTTAAAAGTAAAGTATAAAAGTGTAAATATTACCACTATACATTATAAAAAGAGTTTTCATTTTCTACCTAATGGTGGGTGCATTTTACTGTTTGTAAACCATGTTTAAAAAAAACCTAATGGAAAAGTGTGTATGGTTTTTAAGATGCATAGGTTAATAAAATGATGCTTTACTACATTTACAAAGATTTGGCAAAATTCATCAGTAACAATGACCTGAGGCTCTGGTTGACAACTATGTTTCTGATTAATAAACACAGGAATTATTTTTATTTTTTAACAAATACGGCTGACTTAAAATTGGATCAACTTGTTCTTATCAATTTAAACTCAAACAAAACTGACTGATCAATTTTAACTAGTCCAATCAGGTTTGTGTCAAATCAGATTTAAACTGGGTCAAACCATTCTGAATGATCCTTCCCAGTTTAAACAGCTTTCTACCACCACAGGGAGTAGTTAAGTGTCTGGGTTCAAGAATCAGTAAAAATCCCACCTGTATCACCTCTTAGCTGTTTGTCCTTGGGCAACTTAATTTATCCTTTCAAAATCTGTCTCGTCTATAAAATGAGAATAACAGTACGTCTCTCATAGAATTATTGTAAAAATCAGGCATCACAATGTATGTAAAGCCTTAGAACAGTAACTGGCTTAGAGTATGTGCCCAGTAAATACTATTACTATATAATATTCATCATTTGAAGTGATCAAATTAAGTTCTGCTTGGCTCCAACTGGCTAGACCAGGAATAGAGAGATGACTGATAATGAGTTCCTTTTTCTAGTCCCAGTTTCTTCTCTATTAAAGACTAACCCCTGGCCACTCCTGAATTCCTCCTAGAATTCTTGACATCACCATCCCCCACTTACATCTTCTGGCTCTGAACCCCCTATGTGAGGACCACATAATTGAGCCAATTATCCTGAATGCAAATGTTCAGTCATTGTCCTGTTTCCTACCATGCCAGAAGTTCCTTGAGGAGTTTCTTGTGTCTTCCTCTCCTCTTCCCCTTCTGACTCCGAATGCTATGCTCTTCCCACAGTATAGCCCTGCCTCTCCCTGGGCCCCCGTCTGTCCTCTGTCCTCTTCCTTGGAGGCACTTTACCACTGTAACTGTTATCACTGACTCTCACACTTGCTTCATACAGAGGCTGCTCAGTGAACATGGGAACTTCTGCCCTGCTCCTGCCCAGGTCTGTTTACCCCGAAATCATCCTTTGGTGTCAGAGGGGAAGTGGTGCTTGCACACACTTAAAGAAAAAAGTGGTGATAGCTTCCAGATGAGTTTGTTATTCTAAATTTAACATTCCTTTTGGTACTTAGAATTTCCACTTTCTCCTTTCCACCCCTTTGCATTTATGTAATTAGAAAGCATGCATCAGGAAACCAGTTGTATCTCAGTATCATTAAGAAGGAAGGCTGTTCCAGCCCCATGGCGTCCATCCTTGTGGAAATACTTTGCAGAGTTTATTTGGACAGGTTCAAAAATAGTCCTTCAACAATACAATCAGATTGCACCACAACAAGTAAAATGTAATTATAGCTTGGTTACATAAAAAAAAAAAATGTAAACAGTGAGGTTTGAAAAAACTCAAGGCAAAATACATAGACTTTCTCTTTCATGTCCAATATCCGCATTTCCTAAAGCAGGATTTCAAGACTGCATCCTTAGATCTTTTGAAATGGATGAGAGAAGATGCCACTAAAGGAGACAGCTCAATAGAGTGTGTTCTGAGGCCATTTCTCAGAACAAAGGCAGACTTCTACATAAGGCAAATGCAGCCTGATAAAGGCTCCCCCGGCGGGTACTCAGATTGCCAAAGTCATTCACCTAAATGAGTTCAAAATACATATTGTTCTGGGCCAAATTATACAGTGTCAGGCTCAGACTGTACATATTTATGTATGTTGGCAGACCAGGCCACTTTTAGGGCGCCACAGTTTTATCCTAGTATCCTGTGCCCAGTTGGGTTCCCATCACTCTCTTCCCAAACTCATGAATTTCCTTCTATTTGGCTCCAGAAGGGCAGACAAGAAGCAAAATCAAAGTTTCACTATCCCACAAGGGAACAGGGCCCTAGAGGACTTGAATTTCTACTGAAACTTAGAGTGCAACAGAATGTGCGCCTTTGCCAACAAGCTACAACTTTCTGAAGGTTGGTTTGAGATGGGGGCAGGGAGTGGGGATGAGACCTAGCATTGTGCTTTGAGCCAGTCTCCGCTATGAGCCACAAGGCGGGACTATAAAGTACTCTGGAATTAAAACAAACAGCCAATGCTTCCTTTGGCTGGCCTTTGCCCAGAACTGCTCCCTCACAGAGCTGACCAGTTTCTCAAAACACATAAGTGGTATTTCAAAGATGCTGGGCAAAGGGATCCATCCAAATAAATGCCTAAAACCTAATAACTAATGAGATGGAGAAACCTGATTCTAGTGTCCATTTCCACTCCATATTCTTATGACATATCTAGAGAACTAGTGGGCATGTTGTGTTTTTGTCTTTTTTCTTTTTCTTTCTTTTTTTTTTTTTTTTTGCAGGGACCTGTTATTCTTTTCTCTGCCTGGAAAAATTGGAGGGGAATATTAACTTTTAAAGCAAATATGGAGAAGATGAGTGTAAGGGATGAAACAGGTTGCAAGGCTTTTACTTTCATTACATGGGTTGTCCTGATCATAGAATGAAGAGGGCAAAGTGAAAAACAGAGTGGCTGTAGCAAGCCATAGCCATGACTTATATAATCCTGGGCTCAGGCCCATCTTTGGGCTTTAACTGACCCAAAGAAACAAAAAAGCCCAGAGAGCAGAGGATCCTGGACAGGTTGTAGGGCAGGGAGCCACTGTTGCCTCTTGTGGTCCAGAGCTTAGCACACCTTTCAGGAAAGAGGAGTGAAGTGAAGGATGAGGGAGAGAAAAATGAGCGGGCATTTCTACCTTCAATCTACTCATTACAATACTTGCAAGAACGGTCTCGTCGCTGTTCCAGAACTGGGGTCAGACACTAGCTCTACCCTGGTGCCAGCCTCATCCCTCCATACCTCTCCCCATCCCTCCCACCTCTCCCTGTCCCTCCACACCTCTCCTCATCCCTCCCACCTCTCCATCCCTCCACACCTCTCCTCATCCCTCTCACCTGTCCCTTGCCCCTGCACGCTCTGGCTATACTGACCTACCTGTAGTTTCCCAACTATAACAGGCACTGCCAGGATTCTAAGCCTCCACATAAGCTACTTTCCTTCTCTCTCTCATCTGTCTGGAATGTCCGAGTCGACTTCAAGTCCAGTCCACGTTATTCCCTCCTCCGCCAAGCCAACCTAAGCAATCGCTTCAACACTCCTTTTGTGTCTAGCCTCCCTAGTTCAAGTGGAACCAAAGGAATAAACTCAAAGAGGGCATTAGCAGTGCCCTTTTGTCCTCAAACTTCACTGCTATACAAAGATAAAATCAACCCCAAATGTGGGCCTCCAGCCAGATGAGTATGCCACACACTCTGCCTAGCCCTCAGGACAAAGCTCCCAGCGCTGAAGCTTGGACTGTGTCAAGCTCCATGAAGCTGTGGGTAACTGGAGTGAATATCAATGGAGTGAGCTGTTGACAGTCAGGTGGCATACCCTGCCAACAGGGCCAGCTAGCTGACCTCGGCGCAGTTGGCACAGCTGAAACGTGCCCTGCCAGGCCCACTGGTGAGAACAACATACAGGTAGTAAAGAGCTGCTAGAGCAAGGCAAGGCTCCTCAGGACATCCTTCACCTTCATCAGACAGCACAGGGGCAACCTCCAACCTCCGATTTATGAGGTGGAAGCAGTTCTAAAATTTACACATTAGGGGGTGAGTGGGGAGGGGTGCACAACGGCTGTGGTTTCAAGAAGGTTCTCAGAGAGATTGGGACCAGGCGGTTACAGCTGCTGGCAGTTCAAATATCATCTTCCTCATGCTCACAGACCAAAGGCAAAGAAATGCAGGCAATGCACTGGGCTGCCTATTTTTGTTTAATTTATTTCTTTTAAGACCACCTCCTTGCAATTTCCAGAGAGAAAATACAAAACAAGAAACAGACTTGGTTTCAAATACATAAATAGTGTGCTGGAGTTTAAAGCACTGCTGATAACATTGGTACAGAAGAACATCAGCTTACTCCAGGGCACTTCAGTATTCCTGAGGAATAAACATGATTTCTCCTTTCCTCCCACTGGGATGTTCTCAGGTGTAAGTCATTGCTCCTGTTCCTGGTAAAGAAAGGACACTCAGGTTAGAACTGTGCACAGTATCTGACAGCCCTCTCTAACTTGTTGCTGCAGGTCAGACCCCAGGGACCAATGGGCTCAAAACTTTACCACCCTGTTTGCTTTCAAACCATCTCACAAGAGGACTGTGTATACCCCACCCAGGTGCTTAAGACTGACTCCCCAGTCTCTGAGGGAGGAGAGTGGGAAAGGGGCAGAACAGGGCTAAGCCATCGGTACCTGGAAAACGATATTCCTAAAACCCATAGAAGGGATGGATCACAGGTGAGTGGAAAGAGCATGGGTCTAGAATCAGCCTACTAATGGTAGGGTCTTGGGCAAGTTTCTTAACCCCAGTTAAGATTCATATTTCCCATCTTCTGAAAAGATAATAAAACCCCTCACAAATTTACTGGGGGTGGGGAGGTCTAAAGAAAGAATATAAAGCACCTAGGATGATCTACAGGGCATAGCAGGGCACACAACAAGCAATTGCCATAATATAACTATACTGAAAAAGCCCCATATTGAGATTTCGCTTCCTTCTTTAGAGAATGGAGGATGACAACATCAAGGCACAGACTCAAGTTCAGATAAAGTTACAAGGCCATTTTGGAGCAGTACACACAAGGCTATAAAAAAAATGTTAACAATATTTTCCACAGTAACTCCCAGCCATTAAGTATATAATATGCATATAATCACCCCTGAGCCATTATCCATGGCAACTCAGTTTGGAACAATGAAAACATTTAAACAATTAAAAGACCTGAAGCTCCTCTCCCTGTTCCTTCTGATCTCCCCCATATTCGGCTGCGATGGCCAAGAAAGTGAAGAGCTGGGGAACAGTGGGAACTGCCTGCCGTCAGCGTCGGTGCCCTGCAGCTGCGCGTCTCCTTGCACTGTCCCTCTGATTATGTCACCCTGGCTGTGGCGCAGAGACGGTTCATTAACGTGGAGGGTGGCGAAAGGCCTGCCAGGCTTCCTAACTGGCCAACTCTCCCTGCTCTCAATTCTCTCTCCACACATGTACAGGACGGGCAGTGGGCAGCTGACATTCTGAACAGGTTCTAAGATAGAGGCTATGAGCTGTGGTGGGATACTGTCATTTGAGATTTGGTGAAAGCTTCTGACCAGAATTGGGACACTCATTTGTACCACATTTTCTGCTCTACTTGTTATTATGATGGAACAATGGACAAGCCAATCACCCTTTTTTGGTTGGCCTCAGCTATAATAACCAACATTTGTATTCGTATAGCACCTCGCAGCTTAAAAACAGTTTCACATTTAATTCTCGTAACAACTGTGTACGTAGAAATAATTAACCTCATTTTATAGATAGAAAACAGAATCTCAGACGTAAAAAAACTCAGATAACATAGGAAGCGACTGAGGGACCAGGACTCACATCCATGTCTCCTGGCTGCTGTGCTCTGTCCACCAGCTTCCAGCCCCTGCTCAGATCATAGCAATTCCAGCTCAAGGGTAACCTAGATAGTACGATTCTACGTGTCCAGGGCATGTGAAGTTCTTCAGTGAAGTTAGTATTGCTATAAAGGTTATACCTCAGTAAGCCTGAGGCCATTACATCTAACAGGATGTATCATTTACTTCATTCATCCATTTTATATTTGAATGCTTACTTTGCTCCAGGCCCTGGGGATATAAAAATAAACACATCCCTCTGTCCTTGAGTCCCCAGCTTCCCATGATCCCTTCACTTAAACCCCATGGTTCAAGTGAAATGGAAAACGCTGCTATACACAAAAACTTTGGGAAATTTTTCGTCTGGTCTGCATCAGTTAAAAACCATCTACAGACAAGGACTCCAGCAGAATTATGTGAGGCTTCCGGTCAAGAACCTGACCTCGTCAATAAAAAGCAGAATGATGGCCGAGTCCCAGAAGTCTTTAGGTTTAGCTTCGGTGTGTGAGATGCTTACAGGGTGCTCTGAGATCTTGAACAAAAGTGCTACTTACAGACATTTAACATGAGTCTACTTTACCACAATATAACCTTTCGGGCGGGTCTGTCAATTCCAGTCCGTTAACAGGTGAGTCTGTATCTGAATGCACATACGCATCTCAAGGTACAGGGGAAGGGAGAGACGTTAGGCACCAAAGCCGAGTCAACATCACTAAAGGCCAAAGAACAATTAGGATCTCAGTGGTGCCACACGACACACAGTTTATTAATTGCATATACTATAAAGAATTCTTCGAGGACTTAGGAGAAAACTGTTTTTCTTTGGAAAGAAAGAGAAATACCAATTCTGTACATACTTTGACATATTTTCCATGTAGAAGATATGGAGCCTGGAAATCATGCTGACAGTTGGAGTAGGCCATTCCCAAACCCATGCCAGAACCAAAGGCTAACGGCCACATTTTTCCTAGTGAGCAGAAAAAGGAAAATCTCAATAGGGAACCATTAAGAGAAGATAGAGCTTTTTCTCTGGCTTAAACTACATTTGCTTAGGATTCAATAAATATTCAACATACATCACACAGATGACTATACTATGCCACATTTTGCCAATATTTCATCAATGGTCAAAAAAAGGGAGCAGAAGTCTATGAGTAAACTCATTAGTTTAGGAAGTATCTATTAAGTACCTATGCTGCCAAGTTTAACATATTAATAATGGTACATCTGAATGTTATATAATGGTACAATGTGAAAACAGTAGACGTTTAACTTCCAATCATTTGCTCGTTTTAACTATTTTCTTAACATTAGCACAAATAATACCACCTTTCAGTAAGGTACTTGAATTTTTAAAATATGAAAGAATTTAACTAATATTTACATATTTTGATTACAGTGTCATGAGGTTTATTCATGACAATACCGTAAATGGTTATTTCACATCGGCACTATGTGTCAGTTGTGATTCTCTTGCTATGCATTCCCCACCAGTTCTTCAGGCAAAGAGGTCAATATCCAAACTTCAGAAGTCCTTCCACAGAATGAAAGGGACATCGCCAGCCCTTTGCTTAGGAGAGTTTTTGGCCAAAAAGCATGTGTGTTTCTGGTCCACTTATTTTTATTACCAGCAGAACTCTCATTTTCAAGTCCCTTTAGAAAAAATTATAATTAATTAGAAATAGATGAGCATGCAGATTGGGCCAAATGACTCACTGGCATAAACCACAGTCTTTTAAAGTGATATCATATTTAAGATATCAGGCACCCTGACTCAATGCCCAGGGGGAATTCTGGAGATGTCCAACCCATTCTGACCTCTTCTGAGTCCAGGTTCTTTGTCTAGCTCATTTACAGTGGCCTACCTAAACCCACAAATGAATGGATTGGCAGCCATGTAGATGTAACTTCCAGAAGTGTCCCTGCTATGTGTATATACACACTAGGACATTATATTGAAAAGGTAGTAGAGTCACACTTACTTTTAAAGAAGGTAAGTGAGAAAACGAGTCCTAATCCAAAACCAGTACCTACAGAGAGGGAAGAAAAACAAGTTCAATCTCATAATAGTAACAACATAAATAAAATGAACATTTCATAAATGTGAACATCTATAAAATAGATGCTCCCCACCCCCAACTTGGCACAGAGTTGATTTTCTCATTTCTAACCTTCCTTCCTTCTTATTGTCAGAGGCTTCACAGATGCCTTGGTCCCTTGCCCACAATAGAGGATAAAAACTTTATTCCCCATCTGTCTAGACGAGTCTTGGGGTTGGGAACAAGCCAAGAGAGGTCCTGAGGAAACACTCTCTGCTCCGCAGTGAACGGCCAGCCTCCGGCATCTCGGGCTCTCCTACCCGTCTTCAGCAGGGGCGTC